TGCTGCTCTTACAGAGGACCCAGCTGCAATTCCCAGCCAGGGGTTCTGTCTGGTGCCCTCTGTGGGCACCAGGTACTCACGTGATACACAGATGTACCATCAGGCAAAACACTGACACGTATAAAATTAAAAATCAACAAACTTAAAAGAAATAAACCTTCAAATGAAAACAGCAAAGACCCACCCTGCAGTGGTGGCCCACGCCTTAGGAGGCAGAGGCAGGTGGAGTTCGAGGCTAGCCTGATCTACAGAGCAAGTTTTAGGATGGTCAGGCCTACACAGAGAACCCTATGTCAAAAAAGCAAGCAAACAAACAAAAAAAACAGAAGACCCCAAACCTATGTGTCAAAAACTGCCTACTTTTATGGACAGTCTACTTAAAATTGCCCCAAACACTGAACTTCTCATCAGCCTTCTTTTTGTCTGTTTGCAGCTGTTACAGAGTTTTTGCAGATGAGCTGAGCCAGTACTGTTCAACAGAACTTTCTGCAGTAATGAACTGTTGTCTACCTGTGCCGTGTAGCACAGTACCCATTAGGCACAGTGGCTGAGGACTTGATAGATTGAACCTAACTGAGGAACTGACTTTTATGTTGTATCTAATCATAAATAGCCTAACTGAGGAACTGACTTTTATGTTGTATCTAATCATAAATAGCCACAGGTAGCAATTGTGGTGGCCATGGCAGGTCTATGCGGTAATTATTGCTTGCATCTTAGATTATATACTGTGTTTTAGTTTTTAAGGTTTTTTTCCTTCACACCAGAGGAGAATCGGGATTATATCTGGCTTTGTTTTCCAAATTTTTGAGTAATGCCTTTTTCCTCCTCGGTATAGCAGGGCCATAAGAAGCTGGTTATAATGTCCCTGAAAGCTCTACTGGCAATTTTTGAAATAATTTTCAATATTTAGACTAATTCTTCGGGAAGTTTTTGATAACTTTAATAGAGCTGGTTGGTTGGGGGATTGAACCTAGGGTCTCTGACATACTAGGGCAACTACTCTAGAGCTCAGCAACACCTTCATTCTAGTACAATTATTTGCTTTTATAGATTTTTGTTTATTTTGTGTATATGAGTGTTTTCGCTGTGTGTATGTATGTGTGTGCACCATATGTGTGCCTGGTAACAACAGAGGCTAGAAGGAGACATCAGTTGCCTAGAATTAGAGCGTCACATAGTTGTGAGTCATCACATGGGTGCAGAGAGCCAAGCCCAAATCCTCTGCAAGAGCAGCAAGTGCTCTTAACCACTGAGACATTCTCCAACACTGTGGTACAATTGTTCTGAAAATATATATAGTTCAAGAATTGAGCACTATAAATCCCATCACAAAGGAAATATTCTTCCGGGTTACCTCTTAAGGACAATGATGTTTCAGAGCCCTTCGTTTATCCCCTGAGCTCCCAGTGGTTGTGATTGAACTCAAGGCCTTGTACACCCTAAGCAAGCACTCTACGCTGAACTAAGCACCGCTTATTTTTACTTGTATGCTTCCAAATGTGGGCCAGAGTACTCAGAAAATGAAGCAAAAATTAACAATGGGAAAAAAGAAAAATGTCATTAAGGCATTTAAAATTAAATAGGAGGCTACAGGCTTGAGGCTGTCACTGACCTGTTGAGTTCCTGCACGGTGAACTGCAGCCTAATCTAGAATGGAATGAAATTGCAAGCATAACTGACAAGTATAAGAAATAGCCAAATTTCAGCCAATCACAGTGTTCCAAGTAAACGGACTGTATACACTAAGTCCCATTTGGAACAGCATCCAGCCAACCCGTTTCTACATGCTATCAATATTGCCCCAAGAATACATTCTATTTATTTTGTCTGGTTCTGGGCACTGTCTAATTCACAAATAAGTCTTTGCTCAAACAAATTCTATTAAAATTAAACTATCCAAAATTATTCTTTTTTTAAGAAGCAAAAGAGTGACAAACATTCTTTGTAAGCCAAACGCAAGTCAGGCTCCTGAAACTTCTAGGCCTCGTTCGTGCACATCTTGGTAACTAAGGGTTAGGAGAGTCCTGATACTTGAATTGACCCACAGCTTCTCATGCACGATATCCAACCCCCCTCAGTGTTGCTTCAGTTCCTCGTTTGGCACTCCCCACCTCTATCTACAAGCCCATGCTTGTCAGATCTTCAGCAAAAATCTTATTGGGCTACATCTTAGTTTGGTTTCTGCTGCTGTGATGACCACAATGACTGAAGGGACACTGGACAGCTCGAGCGTGTGGAGCATGACTCTGGCAGGCCTTGCCCTTCTCCCTGATTCCCTCTTCCTTGCTAAAAAACCATTTAATGACATTCCTAAGATGACCACCAAGGTCTATTCCCTTATTTGGTTACTTCCTTCTCCAGAGAGTGACTACCAAGTAAGGTCCAGCTATCAAAGTACTGAAGTCCAGCAATCTAAAGCCCCCTTGACTCACCTAATTAACATGCCCAATTAAAATTACATACCTCGTCCTAACACAGGGTTTCCCTTTATAAACCGCCATTTGCCTATGTACCACATCTGTCTCCTCTCTATCCTGAGGCAGACCTTTGTCCCTCCAGGACAAATACCCCTGCCCCCTTTCCCTTGCTCCCTTCCTCTTCTCTCTGTCCTCTATCTCTTATCTTTGTCCCTTATCCCTGTCCTCTGTGCCTCTGGGGCAAATAAGTCTCTGTGCTGAGAATTTGGTCCTGGGGATCCTGAGCCGACACCGATACTTTTCCTTTCAATGGCCAACTACAGCTTGGGAAGGAAAGGACTTATTTCTTCTTACAGTGCAGTTCATGGTTGAAGGAAGAAAGGGCAGGAACTTGAGGCAGAAACCGTGGAGAAATGCTGCTTACCCTTACCAACTTGTTCCCAGGAACGCATCAGCTCAGCTACCTTTCATACACAGCCTGGGCCCAAGGATAACACTGCCTTCCCACAGTGGGCTGAGCCCTCCTACATCAATTAGAAATCCAGAAAATGGCTGGGTGATGGTAGCGCACACCTTTAATCCCAGTACTTGGCAGGCAGAGACAGGCAGATCTCGGTGGGTTCGAGAGAAGGGAAGGAATGCCCCACAGAGTGTCCACAGGCCAACCTTTTTTTCCCCAGGTGTGTCAAAATGACAATCAAGACCTTGGTGTTTTGTAAAACATAAATAATTTCAGAGAACTTCAGCATCAAATGGGGCTATTTTCTGAGAGTGATGGACCATATCAAAAAACAAGACAGTAAAACAAAATAGTATCAGCACTTGGAGAGCAAAAGGATTATCCTGAGTTTGAGCCCAGCCTGAGGTACATAGAGAGTTATAGGGTGGGCTACACTGCAAATGAGATTTTGTATTAAACCAAACCAAAACCAAGATTCATTTGTAATCATACCCTGATATTAACATAGTCCAAAACATAAAAATAATCAGGTGTGTCCCCCCCTCTCCTGATCAGCGAGAGTCCCTTGTCCTCTCTCTACTGAGGTAAAATCTGTTACATTCATCACAGAATCACTCTGCTTTCTGATCGTATCCAGTGCATAGAACCAGAGAGTTTGCTTCCTTAAATCGTTCCCCAAAATTACTTTGGAATTGGAGGTTGCCAAAGGAGACGGCCACATTCTCTAGTTCAATCACCACTGGCTTTAATGAATCCTTGCAGGCAAACAATATGCATAGGTGAATTCAGGTTGGTCATGACTAATGATTGTTTACTACTTTCAGCCATTTATCTGATGCAAACTACAAAACAATGCTTGTTGGACTAATTACTGTTAAGTGTCAGTAATTATGCCTTGTCTTTTTGCTGCCATTTATTGATTGATTTATTTAGAGACAGGGTCTTAATATGTAACCTTGGCTGGCCCTGAAATCGTGGAGATTCTCTTGTTTCTGCTTCTGGAGTGCCTGAACTACAGGCAACCACGTTCAGCTGCTTTTATTTTCTAATGATGGGTTTGGGGTTTTTTTTTCCTTTAAAAAACATTACAGCCGGGCGTTTATGGTGCACGCCTTTAATCCCAGCACTCGGGAAGCAGAGGCAAGGGGAGCTCTGTGAGTTCGAGGCCCGGCTGGTCTACAGAGTGAATTCCAGGACAGCCTCCAAAACAATTAATACAGAGAAACCCTGTCTCGAAAAACTAAAAAAAAAAAAAAAAAAAAAAAAATTACAAGCCACTACCTTGAGCCGTTTGTGCTTTATTTTATTTTTCTGTTGGAAGTTTTTTATTTTTATTTATTTAAGGAGGCAAGTATCGCGTCCAGCCTTTTAAAAAGATTTGACCCAGGCTGGCTTCGAACATGGCACTCTCCTGTCCCGTTCTTTATTCTTCAGTATTTGCATACCAGCGTCCATCACCACGGCCCGTCTGTTTTTGTTTTGTTTTGTTCGTCTGTTTTAACTGTTTTGACAGAAAACAAAGAGAGTAAGTTGGAGAGCAAGTCAACAAACTCCATCACTGAAAAACAGGCAGCAGGTTAGTTTCCCTTCCGGCCTCAGCTCCTCCCTCAGGGACCCGCTAGGAGTCCGCCCCCACCCTTCGGATCGCTCTGCGCAGGCGCCATCTCCCGGGCACGTCAGCGTCAGGTCCCACGCCCGCGTTCTCTCGCCCGAATATTCTGGACCGGTGGGGGTTACCTCATCCGGCCCTAAGAGCCGGAAGTTCCTTCAAGAGGCGGCCGCGCGGCCGCTAGGGCGGTGCCTGCGCTTCCGGCGACGCTGAGGACGTTAGGGCGGCGACCGCGCTTGTTGGAGCGCGGCGGCGTTGGCCATTTCCGTTAGCTCGGCCCCCGCTGAAGGGCTAACTCCGGTTTCCAGTGGAAGCCCATCCCCGCTCGCAGAGGCGCCAAGGCGCGCCCTGTGCCCGGGCGGCTCTAAGGTTGAATTCCCTCCTCCCCTCTAGCTGAGGTCGCTTGGGCGGGCCGAACGGCGCGCCGCCATTGCTCTCGTGGCGGCCTCAGGGCCGTCCCTCGGGGTGGATTTCCTCAGGCTTTGTTTAGTATTCAACCCCACCCACCGGAATCGCTCTGGGCGGACCGGTTCCTCTCGCTCTCCCCTGCCCCAGGATCGTTATGTGCCTACAACGCCCCTGCCGGCGATATCTCACCCCACTCACCCACACCCGGCCAGGGCCTTCCTGTGAAGCTCGACCGTTAGCTATAAGCTAGTGCTAGAAGGTTCGATTTTCCCCTTTGCTGTTGAGAGAGATTTAAAGACTTAAGCGCATGGGTTACTGCTGGTTTGCACAAAAAGCTTCTGGGAAGTTTCACTGTGAACGTTCCTGTCGTTTTTCTTTCCGTTTAGGCTACTTTAGTACAGATGTATATATTCCCTTCCAGAATTCCATATTTGCAAGCGGCTAAGTGCATTCAGGAAACACATTGTAGGGCCTATTCTTACTGTCACTGTAAAAGCTTTTTTTTGGGGGGGGGTGTTGGAAGCAGGGTTTCTCTGTGGCTTCGGAGCCTGTCCTGGAGCTAGCTCTTGTAGACCAGGCGGGCCTCGAACCCACAGAAATCCGCCTGCCTCTGCCTCCCAAGTGCTGGGATTAAAGGCGTGCCACCACTGCCTGGCACAGGCTTTTATATGTCCACATACATTAGTTATACATATGTGTTTACATACGTATATCCACACTACTGAGTTAATAGTAAAATGTATAAACATTATATTAGCACATGTTCTAGGACTGAAGTACAACTGCCAAGAAATGTGTCTGGTCTGAATTGGAATGTGTTAAAAATGTAAAGCACAACAGATTTTTTTTTTGAGAATTAACACAAGAATTCCCCTTTTCCGTCAGATTTTGAAAGAACAGTATTGGGGTGTGGCTTGGGTGTAGCTCAGTGGTAGAGCACATATTTTAGTGTGCACAAGACCTTGTGTTTGATCCCCAGCACCACATTTCTCTAAAGGAAAAAAATTATTTCAGATATACTGGGCCAAGGAAAACTATAATTAATTCCATCAGTTTTTAACATGATTGTTACACATTTAGAAATTTTTCTGTAGCTTGAAATCTTTATGTGGGACAGTGTTGCTCTAAGAAAGGCCTTAACAAATGATGCCCTGTGGCCAAATACAGACTGCCCTTTTTCTGCTTTGAAATAGGGTCTCTTGTAGTCTTTTCTGGCTTCTAATACTCACCAGACAGGCTTTGTGCAGTGCTGGGGAGCAAACTCCAGCTCTCTGCGAGCTCGCTAAGCACTCTACCAACAGCCTCATCTTCAGCACCACCATCCCCCCACCCCCACCCCATGCATGCCTGGAAGCCAGAGATCGACTTAGATGACTTTTGAAATTACTGTCCCTCCCACTTTGTTTTGAGACAGGGTCTGTCACGGAACCTGAAAGTCATCACTTCCAGCTAGACTGCCTGGCCAGTGAACTCCAAAGATACACCTGTCTCTCCCTTCCCGTTGCTGGAATTACAGGTGTGCACCGTGAGCCTGGCTTTTCATGTGGATGAAGGGGATTCAGACCCAGGTCCTCATTGCACACCAAGCAGTTTCCCAGCTCAGCCATCTCCCCAGTCCCAGCCTGCATATTTTATTATGATTCTCTGTATGTAGATGTTTGGGTATGTGCACATGAGTACCAGTGCCACCGGAGGCCAGAGGTATCAGAGCTTTCCAAAGCTGAGCTTACAGTTGTGAGCCACCCAGTGTAGGTGCTGGAAATTGAACTCCTGTCCTCTGCAAGAGCAGTACACACTCAACTGCTTAGTCATGGCTCCAGCCCCATTCAGTATTTGGTATCTGTTGTTCCTGCTATAAAAGCAGCAGGGTTGAAAAGTCCCTCTACCAGAAGTCTAAAGTATTTCCTATCTGTCCTTTTACAGAGAGTATTTGCTGACTTCCTGTCCTGGAACACCACCTGGTATGGTGACAACCTTCCTGTTTTAGCCTCCTGAGTGCTAGGATTATATGTATGCAAGAATACCTGGCAAAGATTATTTATTTTAAAATTACGTTTATTGTGTGTGAATGAGCATTGCCACGTTGTCTGTGTAGAAGTGGGATAATTGTCAGTTTTCTCCCTCTGTTATGTTCTAGAGATTGAACTTAAATGGTTAAGCTTGGCAGTAAGAACTTTTACTCACTGAGCCATCTCCCCAGCCCCTGGCAATGTTTTTTAACTTTCTATTGTAAATTCAAATAATTTTCAGTCACTTTATAAAGACTGAGCACTTCATTAAAACTGTCTCATGTAAGCTGGGCGGTGGTGGTCCACACCTTTAATCCCAGCACTAGGAAGGCAAAGGCAGGTGGATCTCTGTGAGGCCAGCCTGATCTACAGAGCTAGTTCCAGGACAGCCACAACTGATACACAGAGAAACCCTGTCTCAAAACAAAACAAAACAAAACAAAACAAAACAAAAATACCAACAAAGAAACTATCTCTTTTAATTTGAATACTAATCCAAGGTGGCAGTCACCCCATTTTAAAGATGATGAAGTAGAGGCACTGGATGATCAGTAAACTTAGCCAACTTGTTAATACCCCCCTCACTTCCAGGAACTATACTTCTTTTGAGACAGGGTTTCTCTGTAACTTTGGAGCCTATCCTGGAACTCACTCTAGCCCAGGCTGGCTTTGAACTCACGGAGATTCACCTGCCTCTGCCTCTCGACCTACCTGATTAGATCACAGTGGACGTCACAGGATTTTTTTTATATAGGATTTTAAAATTTTTGTTGTTGTTTTATTTTGTGTTTGGTTTTGGGTTTTTTTGGGGGGGTTGTTTTTGTTTAGTTTGATTTGGTTTTTCGAAATAGGGTTTCTCTGTGTAGCGTTGGCTGTCCTGGAACTAGCTCTGTAGACTGGGCTGGCCTTGAACTCACAGAGGTCCACCTGCCTTTGCCTCCTGAGCGCTGGGATTAAAGGTGTGCTGTGCCGCTGCTGCCGCCGCCACTACCACCAGTAGAAGTCATTATATTTTATTCTAATTATCTCCCTCATTCACTGCCCTCTCCGTGTTCCCTTCCCCTCTGACAGATTCCCTTCCTTGCCCCAGATAATGCCCCTTTTGCTTTCATGTCACATGTATCCCATTACCCTGTCTTCCCTCTCTGTCTTCTCATTATATCCCCTTTCTAGTTTTATGATAGAAGATTTTTAAATGATTTTCTTAAAAAACAAGAATTGAGGTGGACTTTGTCTTCCAGGGTGACATACAGTGAGTGAGTAAGAAGGAAGTTGCTGTATAGTGACAAGAAAAGAAGCTCACAAACTGAAGGGAGAGAAAACACCCCGGAAGCTTTACCACTTGTTTAACAGAAGAACATATCCCGGGAGCTGTTTGGCAGGTATGTTTAAGGGAGATGTGGGAAGTATAGACAAAAAAGTTTTGAAATATAGTAAACATGAAAGCACCGTAGTTATTTGATGTTTTTCACAGATTTTCTGTTGTCAGATGAAATTCACATCCCAGGCTTATTGTGAAAACTGAGGGTAACCTGATCGTGAATAGTTCCATAGACTTACTCAGTAAATGTTCATTGCCTTCCACTGTTAAGAGGTAAGTATTGGAGACTATCATGAATCATATATATCACAGCATATACTACATTACAATACAAAGCATTCTAATTTGAATTGTACACAGCAGTGGTTTTTAATAGTTTCTTATGTAATGGACTTACCTAACATAACCTGAAGTTAGAGACGTTTTGTGTATTCATTACAAGAGCAGTAACCTGTTTGTTGGGTGGGTTGGAGGGCTCAGTTCCTGTGTGTGGTTTAAATCAGAATTGGCTGAAGAATTGAACAAATCTCATGTCTCAAGAGACTCCAGTTCATTCTATCTGGGGTAAGCCCCTGGCATTGTTTGCTTGAGGTTTTCTTTGATTTCCTTGGATGATTCTAATACAAGTCAGAGTTAAGAAGCATCTATGGTGATAGCATGTGGCCAGGTTTAGGGAAATGCTGTAGCCAAGGCACAGCTGTGAAATGGGGCCATGCCTGTCTGTGGTTGAGAGTAGTCAAGGCAGAAGGCCAGGGTGAGGTGCTGTTCATGCCATGGACAGAGCCTAGACTTCATCCTGTGAGTAGAAGGGAATGTCTAAAGGACTTTAAGCAGAAGAAAACACACACATATGAGTTAATGAAGCCAGATTCTACAAGAAAAAACATCTATAACTCCAATCTTGGGGGTCTGATATTTTCTTGTGGCCTCCACAGATACCAGGCATGTATGTGATGCACAGACTTACATGCAGATAGGCGAAACACCCATACATGTAAAATTACCAAAAAAAAAAAGAAAATAATTTTCTTCAAACTTAAAAAAAGACCCTACAATGGGGGATTTTTAAAAATACATTTATATGGCATATGATTTGCATAAAGGAAATACTGGTATTCTTTTTTTCATAACTTTTGTGTAAATCTAAAAGTATTTCCAAATAAAGAATAAGTGGGTCATCTGGATTTGACCGTTTTTCCAGCAGCTCAGATGTCAGCACATTGTGCTCTGTTGACTTTCAGGGTTCAGCAGACATGCTTCCCAATCTGTAATATCTGTTTCTTTACATTGGCTCAGACATCAGTATCCCCGTTTTTGTTTTGTTTCCCTTTTATATATTCAGAAAAGTTATCACTACAAAGATTATAAAGGCATTAAGTATCTTTTTTTTTTTGGTTTTTTGAGACAGGGTTTCTCTGTGTTGTTTTGGAGTCTGTCCTGTCTTGGAACTCACTCTGTAGACCAGGCTGCCTGGAACTCACAGAGATCCGCCTGTCTCTGCCTCCCAAGTGCTAGGATTAAAGGCGTGCACCACCAACACCTGGCTAGGCATTAAGTATCTTGGTCTCATAATTTAATATGAGGAAAAAATAGCCCAGTATTTGCTTATTATTGTCTTATGGATGCTTACCTGAGCATGATTTTATTCCCAACTTGATCATCAAATTCCACCCAAGATGAACTAACTTTTTTTGAGACAAGGTCTTATACATTCCAGGCTAGCCTCAAATTTTCTATGTATCCAAAGATTGCATTAAACTCGTGCTCTTTTTTCTCCATCCCCAGGTGATAGATTGCAGACATACAGTACCATGCTAGGTTCCTGAATAATCTTAATTTAGAAAGGTACTGATTTGTCCAGTTGGAGATTGAAAAGTTATAGCTGATATTCTAACAAGTATTTGAATGTTCTGCTGAAACTTTGTAGAGCTACTTTTCCCTTCAGCTATTAAGAATAAGTCTTGAGCCGGGCATTGGTGGCACACGCACTTGGGAGGCAGAGGCAAGTGGATCTCCATGAGTTCAAAGCCGGCCTGGTCTACAGAGCAAGTGCCAAGACAGCCTCCAAAACAATACAGAGAAACCCTGTCTCGAAAAACAAACAAAAAAAGAATAAGTCTTGAAAGTTGACTAGTTCACATTGTTGTATTATCTAATCTGCCACACTTTTATATCACATTACTTCTTCAGAAAACATCAGATGGATAACTGGCAGAAGTACTAGTTCATGCTCCAAGAGTTGCAACTGGTAAAGGCAAGCTTTAAAAAATTGAACCATCTTTTTTTTTCTTTGCAGCTGTGAAGATGGCTGACAGAAGACAAATCATTGCCAGGGCCTCCCTGATTGAGCAGCTGTTGTCCAAAAGGTATTTTGAGGATATTGCCAAAGAGCTTACTGAGCTAGAAATTATTTATGTGTCTAAGGAGCATCTCCAGGAGACAGATATAGTCAGAGCTGTATACAGAGTCCTCAAAAACTGTCCTTCAGTGACTTTGAAAAAGAAAGCCAAGTGTCTACTGGCCAAGTGGAGAGCTTTGTATAAGAGTACACAATTCAAAACAAAGGAAAACCTTAAATTACTCCATTCTAATGTTAATAAAGAAGAAAGTGCAGCCATTTCTCAGAATGTGAGCCAAGATGAGGAATTAGGTTCTAGCCAGGATGAGATATCAGGTCTTTGCAGGTCTCTCTCTAGGCTTGTATCCCAAGATGCTGCAAAGCCTGCTGCAGCAATTGGGGCTGAAAGTAGCATCACTGATATGGAAATTAATGAAGACTATTTGGGGGGTGGTGACTCTAAATTCACTAGCAAGAGCTCAAGTGCGTTACAAGATCCCCTAGTGTCTGTTAGATCTAAAGGTATAGAGCTTCTTTACTCAGCATTAGCTAGTTCTTCTACACATTACACAAAAACGCATTTGTGGCAGAAGTTTGCAAGAGAAATTGAAGAGCACATTTTTACCCTTCATTCAAACAACATCAAAAAATATAAAATTTGTATTCGAAGCAAGGTTGCTAATTTGAACAACCCCAAGAATTCTCATTTACAACAAAACTTGCTCTCTGGAACCATGTCTGCAAGAGAATTTGCCGAAATGACTGTCCTGGACATGGCAAACCAGGAACTGAAGCAGTTGAGAGCCTCCTACACAGAATCCAGTATTCAGGAACATCACCTTCCCCAAACAGTTGAAGGCACACAGACAAGTAAAATAAAGTGCAAGCGCTGTGAGAAATACAACTGCAAGGTGACTGTAATTGCCCGAGGAACACTTTTCCTTCCAGGTTGGGAGCAGAATTCCAATCCTGATGAACAAATGACCTATGTCATTTGTAATGAATGTGGGGAGCAGTGGTATGATAGCAACTGGGTGTGCTTGTAATGTGTAAATAATCCCTCCAGGGGCATGTGTTTTCTGTGTGTAACAGAACCCCTTTTGTGCTTATTTTTTTACAGAATCTTATTGCTATTTTGTTTTGGGGATTTTGGTATGTGAAAGATCTTAACTATTTAGCCAAAGTTAGCCTCAGTCTCCTGAGTGCTCGAATTTCAGATGTACACTACCACACCTGGCTTAGTATACTGTTCTTACTGCAGTCCTGGGAATAAGGAAGAGAGTTGTTTGCCAAAGTGCAGACCACCGTTGCTAAAGGTTGTTTGGGAAGAGTAGAGGACTATCACGTTGTACTTTGTGGCCATTTAGTATTTTACTCAGAGTAGCGCAGTAGCTTCACACAGCCTGAGAGCATGTTAGAGAGGCAGACTCTCTGGACTAATAATACTCTGTGAGTCCTGATCTGCATCTTGGCAGAATGCCCAGGTCATCCTCTGATAGATTTGCAGGCCTGTGGGTCTCAGGAATGACTGACTATACATTAGAGTTTTCTGGGGAGAATTGAAGTGTACTGGTGCCGAGGGTCAAGCCTAGAATAATTTAGTCTGAACCTATGGCATGGGACCCAGGCATCAACATTGTTCTGGTCATTTCTTTGTTTGCTTTAAGTTGTCGTTAGAGTTGAGTATACCTGTAAATAATCTCTCATTTGAGTCTTTCTATAGTTCTGAAGAAATTAATGTTATTCTGGAGACTTTACAGCTGAGGAAAGAGGCCCAGAGATCTTCATTGACTTAACCAGGTTACAGAACAGTAGGTAGTCTGCCTCACACTGATCCCAATTTTTCCAGCTTCCTTCTGAAGCAAGTGTGATGGCATATGTCTGTAATTCAGATGTTAGGGAGGATGAGGCAGGAAGGTTTATGCGAGTTCAGGGCCAGTTTAGATTATAAAGTCCCTGTCTCAAAAAAGATAGTAAAAGTACATTGTGGTGCTTTCAAGTCCATATTCCTAGCATTGGGGATGCTGACACAGACTTCCATGGATGGAGCCAGCCTGGGTTATGTTGGAAAACAATCCCAAAACAAAATATTCACAGTCTGAGTACAACTTCCTATTGCCTTTACAAAAAGTGTACTCCTGGAAATGGGTGCTAAGAAAATAGTGTTTGGGGCCTCTTAAATTTACTAAATAGAGTTTTATCCTTTTGTCCTTGATTTTCTCATAGTTTCTTGATGTCAGAAATCTTCATGTCTTCAAAGGCATGTGTGTTAAAATCCTGCTTCTATGAAAACTGCATTAGGTGTCAGGAAGTACATTCCCTCAGCCTTTGAATTTATCAACATTTATTTACCTACTAACTAAAGTGGAAATCACTTCTCTAAGGCCTTTGCAAACAGTGTTTACTGATTTGTATGCTTAAACACAACAAGCCTCTTATGTGATTATGACTAATTTGTTCCTTAAAAATGGTACCATGTTATTTGGGGTTTTGATTCTTTAACATGTAAAGCAATTTTATGCATAATGCACACAGAAACTTGGATAAACAGTGTTTACTGATTTGTATGCTTAAATACAACCAGCCTCTTATGTGATTGTGACTAATTTGTTCCTTAAAAATGATACAATGTTATTTGGGGTTTTGATTCCTTAACATGTAAAGCAATTTTATGCATAATCCACACAAAAACTTGGATATGTACTCCCTTTACAGTTACCATGTGGTTAGATATGCATTTTTGTTGTTTCTTGACAGAGACATGTGAGTAATATCTGTTCTTATAAGCCTGACTCCACTCTGTAGCCTAAGCTAGGCTGGAACTCGCACTAACCTCAACCCATGGAGTGCTGTAATTTTGGGTGTAAGACACAATTCATTGATTTTATCATATTAAAGAGTTTATTTCTTAGTTCCATGTAAACTCACTTGTTTTCATCAGCTATAGTGCCCCAAGTCCCCAGTATTCCTTCAGTAGAATCTGTAGGGTTTTCTTTATGTATATTTTACCTACAGTTCCCCCAGTGAGTGCATAAAACTAGCCGACATTTCTGTTTCCTATGTTTTGAAGAAACCAGCTTGAGGCTGTCAAGTCTGAATTACATTTTGTTTTATTTTTTCTATTTTGCATTCCAGTGGTGTTCATTATAATGCAATGTGTTAGTCCTTTAAACAGAAACTTACAAAGTCATCAAAAACTCAAAAGTTTCACCAATTGTGGTTTCATGTGACTTGGAATGATCTTAAAACCTAAATGGTAGTTGTGCAAGAGTACACACAGCACATGAAAACCATGTTTAATTTGTTCGAGTCACTATTGGTATTTGTGTTTTCTATGTATCTGAATATGAGTACTAATATTGAGATTTTGTAATCTACATTTACCAAAAATAAAAGTACTTGAAATGTAAAAAATCTCTCATTCTCCAAGATTTTTTAAAATGTGTGCGGTCTTCCTCATTTCCCATAAGCTTTGTCAGTTAGTTTTGCAACTAGGGAAATGGTGATGTGGGTTTTATTCTTTTGGTCAGTGAGACAGTTATATTTTCTGAGTACTGATAATTCTTTGTATCTTTTCTCAGAGAGAAAAAGAAAGAGGAAAGGAGGAGTGAGTTTGTTTGTTTGTTCGTTTGTTTGTGACAGGGTTTCTTTGTGTAGCCTTTGCTGTCCTGGAACTAGCTCTGTGTAGGCTGGCCTTGAACTGACAGAGATCTGTCTGCCTCTGCCTCCTGAGTGCTGGGATTAGAGGGGTGCAAGAAGTGTTTTTTTTTACAGTTGCTGGTAGGGTAGATTCTTTTTTTTTCTTTTAAAATTTAAATTTAAATTAGAAACAAGGTTGCTTCACAGGTCCCTTTCCCTCCCCTCCTCCCACGCCTTCCCACCAACCCTCCCAATATCACCTCCTTTCCCCAGGAAGGGTGAGGCCCTCCATGGGGGTGTCCATAGTCTGTCATTTCATCCAGGGCAGGGCCTAGACCCTCCCGGTGTGTAGATTCTAATTTAAATTTGCCCTTATAGGAACAAAGAGCAACTCTGCAGACTTCAATATGAGAAGGTACCTGATTCTAAGGGATAGGGATGTGAATGAGAGACAGTGAGAAAGAGCCACAAAGTTCGTGAGTTCCATTAGAGGTCATGATAACAATAAGAACTTGTGGTGGAATAGGGTGGTTTTGTGTTTTAAAAAACACTAAAGCTAGGCAATTTGTCGCCATGGGATTTTGAGTTCCTTTTAGGAAGATCATTGTAGCTGCTTTGTTGAGTGATGAGAGAAATAAGGATGGATGTGGAAACACCACTTAAGTGGCCATTAACAGTGGTCAAATAAAAGTATAGAAAGAGGGGCTGAAAAGATGACTCAGCAGTTAGAGCACTGGCTGCTCTTCCAGAGAACCCAGGTTCAATTCCCCTCACCCACATAACAGCTCACAACTGTCTATAACTCCAGTTCCAGGGAATCTGGCACCTTCCCACAGAACACAGGTAGAGAAAACACCAATATGCATAATTTTTTAATGAAGAAAAGTATAGAAAGAATGGTTTGTCTGCATCTTGATAGTTAATGAAGCCCTTAGCAATTTTGCAAATAGCTATTTCATAAAATATGCTCAACCCAAAATTTCCTCCCTGTGGCCAGTAGTCAAATAACTGCAGAATGTCAGCCTGTGCCCCAGTCTCCATGGTAACTACATAGGGTGAAAACATCCATTTTAATACCTGAATGTGGGAAGGTTTTCTCCATGGGTTTTCCCGAAGCAGTCTCCTTTGTCCATACTTTTTAAAGTGAAGAACTGAGTACAATTGTGGCTCTGTCTCTTCCCTGGGTATTTCCTGTGATGAGAGGCTTCTTTCATTCCCTGATACCATTTCTAAGTGCCAGGCAGGAAGCTTGTGACTGGCAGTACTCCATTGCCTTTGCTGGGACTGGGCCTTCCTCTTTTAGGTCAAATTCCTTTGTTTTTTTATAATGCCCAGTAAATGTAAAATATCTTGCCATAGTATTTTTATGTCTCTCAGAGGTATTTACTGTAAGTACCAGATTGTAAGAAGTAACTTTTTAGTCTCGGAAGAGTACCACAATCAGATGGACTAACCAATGACAACCTCATACAATCCAATTCATATTTAAAGTAAGGTTGCCAAAGATGTTACCATACACTGTCAGAAACTTTGCATTGGAAGGATTGCACATTTTGTCTTGCCAGGTGCTAACTTTTCTGACACACAGGAGCCTCCTTGGATCCTTTTTTGACATCATGTTGCCATCTGTTATTTTGAAAAGTGGATGATTTTAGAATCAAAGAGTTAAAAATTAAAATAGGAACACATACATACAAGGTAGCTAAGGCTGGCCTCAAAGTTCCTATATAAATTTTTTGTAGATGTATATTCTTGCTTTCTTTAAGAATGAAAATGAGCTGGGCAATGGTAGTGCATGCCTTTAAAACCAGCATTAGAGAGGCAGAGGCAGGTGGATCCCTGAGTTCAAGGCCAGTTTGGGCTACAGAGCAAGTTCCAGGATAGCCAGGGCTACACAGAGAAACACTATCTTAAAAAATGAAAATGAAATATGAATATGAGAGTCATTTCTAGGTACTTATCATTGTCATCATAATCACTATTATTTGAGACCCCATCTCATGTAGACCAGGCTGGGTTTGAACTCACTACTTACTGTGTAACCATAACCACAGATTAACTCCTGATCCTTGTGTTCCCACCTCCCAGGTGCTGGAATTATAGTCATGTAACTGTCATGCTAGATTTCATGGGGTACTGAAGACTGAACCCAGGGCTTTGTTCTAGGCAAATGTTCTATTGATTGAACCACATCCCTAGCACTGTTAATCCTTTTCAAATGATGACACATTTCTGAAAATCTAAAACAGACATGGAAAAGTTACAGAATTAAGAAGCAAATTAAAATATTACTCATTTAGAAACCACTTTTTATCTTCATAATAGAACCACTTCTGAAATGATGTAAACACAGATGCAACTGCTTATAAAAGATGCCAAGTGGAATTATAATTCACCAAATTTACCTTTTGTGGATTGAAACAAAAATTTTAGAAATTTCCGAGAGTACCCATGAGGCCCCTGCCTGAGTCATCTGACTGTACTCCACCTACTGTGCCTCTCCTTAAACCAGTGGTTCTCAAGTTTCCTAATGCTGTGACCCTTTAATACAGTTCCTCATGTTGTGACTCCCAACCATACAATTATTTCCATAGCAACTTCTTAACTGTAATTTTTCTACTACTGGGACTTGTAATGTAAACATCTCTGTTTTCTGATGGTCTTAGGTGACCCCTGTGAAAGAGCTGCTCAACCCGAGAGGTTGAGAACCATTGACTTAAATAATGGAGGACTGAAAGCTACAAAAACAGTTTCAATTTCCTTCCTTGGCCACAATATGACCACAATATGGCACTTATCCAATCTTCATTGGACATAACTCGTATCTGACAGTTGAACTCATGCATAGCTCAGTGGAAGAAAGCTGGAGTCTGTATCTACCCATGTCTAAAAGCAAAGGGCCCCACAATTTCAGTGGGCTGTGTCTTGGTATTTATGAGACCACTGGGCAGACTTGTCTTACTGTGTTTTCAGGCAGTTTCTATTTCTGCAGTTTTGTTTCCATTCAGTAGATAGACTTTTTTATCACAGCTTTAATAAACCTCACAAATGGCCGGGCGTTGGTGGCGCACGCCTTTAATCCCAGCACTCGGGAGGCAGAGACAGGCGGATCTCTGTGAGTTCGAGACCAGCCTGGACTACCAAGCGAGTTCCAGGACAGCCTCCAAAGCCACAGAGAAACCCTGTCTCAAAAAAAAAAAACCTCACAAATGGTTGAGCAGAAGGTTTCTATGTAACTTTAGCGAACGTGTTTTAAAATGAGGTAGAAGGGATGCAGGACTTTTCAGAAGTAATAAAAATGTGCAATAGCCTGGTGTACACAGGCATTTAATCCCAGAACTCAGGAGGCAAAGGCAGGTGGATCTCTGTGCTTTACGGGCCAGCCTGGTCTATAGAGTAGATTCCAGGATTGTGAGGGCTACATAGAGGGACTCTGTCTCAAAAACAAAACAAAACAGCCCTGGAGAGATGGCTTAGAGGTTAAGAGCACTGGTTGTTCTTCCAGAGGTTCTGTGGTCAATTCCCAGCAACCACATGGTGGTTCACAATTATCTATAATAAGAATAAATGTCATAAAATTGTTGGTCAATGGGTACTGAATTGTAGTCAGGATAAGGAAGCCTTGTTTCATGTTTCCTGGTGGGTGACTACAGATAGCAATTATCTTAAAAAGTCACAAGAAGGGCCAGGTGGTGTTGGCACACACCTTTGACTCCAGCACTCTGGAGGCAGTAACAGGAGGATCTCCTCAAGTTCCAGGCCAGCCTGGTCTACAGAGCGAGTACTAGGAAAGACTCCAAAGCTACACAGAGAATCTGTCTCAGAATCCCCCTCCAAAAAAAATGCTTATTAGATACCGGTGTAGAGTTGTCAAGTCAGCCTTTAGATTAATGGGCCTGGGATTCAGAAATGCAGGTCTGGGAAAGAGTGATAAATCCTAAACTCTAGAAGCCATGGAATTAGATAAGATCACCAAATGATGAGTAGACACAGAGGACATCGGAGGCATAAAATGGGGGGAGCATTCCACTGTTAAAAGGTCAGGAAGCAAAGAACTGACTGAGATAGAGTGACTCATGGAAGGGAAAAAAAGCCAAGAGCAACCTGCTCCAGCCACGAGAAAAACTGATAAAAGGAAGTGAAAACTGGGAATATTGGTACAGACCTATACCTCATCTCAGCACTCAGGAGGCTGAGGCAAGGGGATTTTTAATTTGAGGCTACATAGTAAGTTCCAGGTCAATCTGAGCTGCTGAATGAGAGACTCCTAACACACACACACACACACACACAAACACACACACACAAACACACACACACGCACGCACGCACGCACATACACACATATATCTGAAAACTATCAAATGCTGCTGATCAGTTTCAAGGCTAAGACTTATCTCTTTGAATATAGCATCATGTAGGGGGTTGAAGCTGTTGGTGACTTAGACACATGGAAGGAATATTGCCAACTAAGAATCCCCATCCAAAAGGGTGACTAGCTTCCTTGTCTGTTGCTGTGGACAGGCAGCCTCTCACCAAGTGAATACATACAGGCATGACTGAGCACTCAGTAGGTCTGGGATGGAACATGGGTGTCTCTGTACTTCTTTCCAGGTGACCTCAGGGCCCCCAGGGTCCCTATTGTGAGGGCTTCACTGTAGCTGGCTGCATCTGCAGTGTGGATGACAAGGTTTTTTGCCGCACATAGATCTAACCAGGAGCATACACTGCCAATGGATTGTGTTGATTCTAAAGGATTTTCTACTTTTTCAGGG